AARSMWTTKRWTYMAAAWWRGKTTTTTTTRATAAAATACATTTTACCTTAMGCTCATGTGTTGCTGATGTTATTTAACATTGCTATGTGTGATTTTGAAGRGATTTAGAGCTATTTTTAGTACTCGAACTGATTCCATGGTAACTGTCGTCCAATCAGAGGAAAYGTGTCCATCAAAGTCGATGAATGCTTGAGCGGATTCAGAAATTGAGTCAGRATATCGTGCAAACATGACAATTTGGCACGGTTGGATTTGAAGTCGGTTGAAATATTGCCCATYAATTCTGGGTAGAAGGATTATAGAGACATGCCGCTGAGGGGATTTTGGAGGCAAAAAATGGATTTAAGATATTTTTTCGGCCTTCAAAGACGAGTGGCGTGGACGCTCTGTAACCTGCATCAGTCTTTTATGATGGCGATATTTTTTTTTAAATAATAGCTCTAAATCCCTTCAAAACCATACACAAAAATGTTAAATAACATMAGCAACACATAAGATTAAGGTAAAATGTATTTTATTAAAAAAACAATTGTTAATCAAATGCTTTGCTTGGGTTGCCTGTGACTCATGCAGCTAGAATCTATTGCTGGTGTTTTGGTTGGTATATTTTTACYCTTGATTTGTTTCGCTCATTTCCATATTGTCATGTACTATTAAAATCTGAATAGGTTTAGCATCACTGTTATTTTATAGAGCGTTGAAAGAAAAAAAAAATCCAACGAAGAATTAGAAACAGTCAATTGTCCCATTTCATAATGACGTTAGAGTATATTTGCATGCTCAGAAACAGTGGACTATTTCTAAAGTTGTGCGCTTTAGCTAATTTTATAAAAGTCAGATTTCGAATTTTCAAACCAAGAAAATCAAGTCTATATGTTATGGCAATTCCTTAAAAATGTTTTGTATTTTTTTACAAGATTTTGTAAAAAAATTACCGTTGTGGGCATTATGTTGTCAACCACTGAAATTTTTTCTATAGATTTTGTTGCGCCCGAGCGGTGAGAGCGCTGGCCTGTCACCTCTGTGGACCCTGTTCGAATCTCGGTCGGGGCGCCATATGTGATTTGAGTTTCTTTCGTTCTCTCCCTTGTGTCGAGGGTTTTTCCGGGTCTTTCCGGGTTTTCCTCCCTCAGTAAAAACGAACCATTTCTATCTGCTGTGCTCCGCGTTCAGTCGTTCGTTGCTATGTAAAGGAAGCGCCTAGCCGGCAGCACGCCTATGTGTAAGTGTCTGTAAAATGTGTCTGTAATATAGCACTTCGACTTGAGAGCGCGTCGAGCTGCGTCTTTCGCAATTCAGCACC